CCCGGAGCTGTGCCCGGAGCTGTACCCGGAGCTGTGCCGGAGCTGTGCCGGAGCTGTGCCGGAGCTGTGCCCGGAGCTGTGCCCGGAGCTGTGCCGGAGCTGTGCTGGGTCTGTGCCCGGAGCTGTGCTGGGTCTGTGCCCGGAGCTGTGCCCGGAGCTGTACCCGGAGCTGTACCCGGAGCTGTGCTGGGTCTATGCCCGGAGCTGTGCCCGGAGCTGTGCCCGGACGGGAAGAGCCGAGAGGGACGGGCGGGCTCCGGGAGATGCTGGACGGGAGCACCGACTCCCAAAAGTTGCACACAGGCTCTCACAACTCGCGTTTCGCTCTCTGCTGCCTGTCAGGATACTCTTGGCACTCTGCTCTCCTCCTGCTACCCTCACTTTCAACACCACGGACTTTTCCTGCTTTACTTCAGTGCTTTATTCTGTGCAGAGAAACTCACAGCTCCCCTCTGGCACCCACGGAAAGCTCCGCAGAGCAGCGGCCCCCGGAGCTGATTCCCTGTAACCATCACTGCCTGCCCACCCTCACCATGTGCTGCCAAGCGGTGCCAGCCCAGCGCATTAAAAACCAAATTAAAACGTCACGGAAAGCCAAAACAGCCGTAAAATACCGGACCCACAATGTTTACAGTTCGCCGTTATTAATATTAAGCAATGAAGTTAATTGACTTCTGGCGTGGTGATTTGCTAAATGCGGGCGTTTGCACAGTGTTCCTGCTCATATCGGCTCCAAGGGACCGGCGCTAATTGAAACCTCTTTAATTTTTGGAAATGAGCCTGCAGCAGCGATCGGACTCTCCCCGATGTCCCGGATCGCGCTTCCCAGACTATCCCGGATGGTTTTCCCTGCTCCATCCCGGAGCTCTCTCCCTGCTCTATCCTGGAGCTCTCTCCCTGCTCCATCCCGGTTCTCTCTCCCTGCTCCATCCTGGTTCTCTCTCCCCGATCCATCCCGGTTCTCTCTCCCTGCTCCATCCCGGTTCTCTCTCCCTGCTCCATCCCGGAGCTCTCTCCCTGCTCCATCCCGGAGCTCTCTCCCCGATCCATCCCGGTTCTCTCTCCCTGCTCCATCCCGGAGCTCTCTCCCTGCTCCATCCAGGATCGCTCTCTCCACGCCACCCCCCGCGGGTCTCCGGGGGTAAACGCGCTCCCTTCACCATATCTGACTCGGATCTGCTGTCCCGGACGGACGCGAGGAAGGCTCGGGATCAGGCTGGGAGCCCCGCGCCTCCCCGCATCCCCGCTCCGCATCCCCGTCCCGCATCCCCGCTCCGCATCCCCGTCCCGCATCCCCGCTCCGCATCCCGGCGCCGCACGTGGGCTCACCTTGTTGGATGCCATCTCGCTGACGGAGCGGTAGGTTTGGATGGTCTCCAGCTGATCCAGGCACCAGTCGAGCTCCTCCAGCGTCTCCATGGCCAGCTTCTGGTAGGGTTCCTCTGCGAAGAGGCACACGGACATGTACTCGGGCTGGCGCTGCGGCCGCCTGTCCATGGCGGGGCCGCCCGAGCCGCCGCCAGCGCTGCCGGAGGTGCCGCTCCGCTCCCTCATCACGCGGCCGCCGCTGCGCTGCCCCGGCCGCCGCCAGCGAGTCCCCGCCCGCCGCCGGCCCCGGCCCGGCCCGCCCCGGCCCGGCCCCCGCCTCTCGGGGGGAACCGAGAGCCCCACGGGCAGGGCAGGGCCGGGCAGGGCTGGGCTCCGGGAGCGTCATCGCGGCCCCCCCTCCCCGGCTGCTGCGGGATCGGCCTCCCCCGCCGCTCTCGGGATTCTGCTCCTGCGCCAGCCCCGCTCCCCGCAGCATCCAGAGCCTGCTCCCCGATAGCCCTGAACCCCAACAGCCCTGAACCCCAACAGCCCTGAACCCTGACAGCCCTGAACCCAAACAGCCCTGAACCCAAACAGCCCTGAACCCAAATATGTCTGCTCCTCAACAGCCCTGAACCCAAACAGCCCTAAACCCCAACAGCCCTGAACCCCAACAGCCCTGAACCCTGACAGCCCTGAACCCCAACAGCCCTGAACCCCAACAGCCCTGAACCCAAACAGCCCTGAACCCAAATATCTCTACTCCTCAACAGCCCTGAACCCTGACAGCCCTGAACCCTGACAGCCCTGAACCCAAACATCCCTGCTCCCCATCAGCTCTGCTCCCCAACCCTGCTCGCTTCTGGCCCCCAACAGTTCTGCTCCCCACATCCATCAACTCTGCTCCCCAACCCTCCAGCCCTGCTCCTTAACTCCACCAACTCCCACTCACCACCAGCTCTGCTCCCCAGCCCTGCCTGGTCCCATTCCCCATCCCTGCATCCCTGCATCCCTGCATCCCTGCATCCCTGCATCCCTGCTCCCCATTCCTGACCCTGCTCCCCATTCCTGACCCTGCTCCCCATTCCTGACCCTGCTCCCCATTCCTGACCCTGCTCCCCATTCCTGATTCTGATCTCCATCCCTGCATCTCTGCTTCCCACTCCTGGCCCTGCTCCCCACTCCTGGCCCCACTCCCTGTCACTCCTGGCTCCCCAGCTCTGTCCCCATCAGCCCCACACCCCAGTGCTCCCCAGCAGGCCCTGCACCCCAAACCCACCGTCCCTGCTCCCACCGTGCTCAGCCCCCTGACCCTGCCAGCGGGACACCCGAGCAGCTCTGGTGTAAAAGTTAAGGTTTCCACAAGAGGATCCAGTGAATCATAAAATCTCCCCGTGAATGTAAGTGCTCCTCATAATCCCGGTAACACATGCTCGTCCCATAAATCTGTCACAGCTAATGGATTCAGCGTTTCTACGGGCAGGTACCAGTGACAGCACAGGCCAGGATTGCTCAGACACACTTGGGAGATGAGCTGGAGCTCCAGGTGTGTCCACCTGTCCTCCCCACCTCGTGTCCCTCATGTCCCTCATGGTGTCCCAGTGTCCCCAGGGGAAGGAGCTGCACCCGGTGCTACTGTCCCTCCTCTCTATCATCGATGGGAGCTCAGCTGGAGCTCCAGGCGTGTCCCCCTGTCCTCCCCACCTCGTGTCCTTCATGTCCCTCGTGTCCTTTGTGTCCTTCTTGTCCCTTGTGTCCCCTCGTGTCCTTCTTGTCCCTCGTGTCCTTCTTGTCCTTCTTATCCCTCGTGTCCCCTCATGTCCTTGTCCCTTGTGTCCTTCATGTCACTCGTGTCCCTCATGTCCCTCATGTCCCCAGGGGAAGGAGCTGCACCTGGTGCTGCTGTCCCTCCTCTTGGTCATTGATGGGAGCTCAGCTGGAGCTCCAGATGTGTCCCCCTGTCCTCCCCACCTCGTGTCCCTTGTGTCCCCTTGTGTCCTTCTTGTCCCTCATGTCCCTCATGTCCCTCGTGTCCCTCGTGTCCCTCATGTCCCTCGTGTCCCTCATGGTGTCCCAGTGTCCCCAGGGGAAGGAGCTGCACCCGGTGCTGCTGTCCCTCTTCCCCGTCACTCACCACATTAATAAAACAGCACCTTCCACTCAATAATTGAGAATTATCAGCAAATAAAGAACAAACAGCAAATAAACGCTGCCAAAGGGAATTCAGAGACAAACCTGGCACAGATACTTAGGAAAGATTTGGCAAATCCAAATCTTTGTGGCATTGGGAATTAATGGGATTTTTCTTTCTGTGCTGACAGAGCTCCAGACATTGAAAGTTCTCTCATTGCTGCATAACCAAACAAGCTGCAAAACCAACAGCCAAAATCACACAAAGCTCACTGTATTTTCCTTTCTACCTGTGAGTATTCCCTCTCAACTATTTTATCATATAAATGAGAAAATAAAATAATAAATAAACAAATAAAATAATAAATTAATAAAAAAAATAAATAAATAAACAAGTAGAATAAATAAATAAATAAAATAAAAAATAAACAAAAATAAAACCCAAAAGGGCTCAAACCACTTGTTGAAAAAAATGTTGGGATTGATAAAACCAACATGGGTAAAATAAATTTAGGGACAGATAAAATAGATGAAAAATAAAAAATGTAACATAAATAAAATAAAATGAAATAAAATAAAATAAAATAAAATAAAATAAAATAAAATAAAATAAAATAAAATAAAATAAAATAAAATCCCATCTCAGCCGAACTAAAACTCGTGTGTTTAAATCAAATCCTGTGTTCCTGTCCTGTGTTCTCCTGCTCTGAGACTCCTCAGGAAGCGCAGCCAGGGCATGTGTGCATTCCTGGAGGAGGAGAAGGAACAGGTTCACAGAGACTCTGACACCAGACCCTAATTTTAGCCTTTTGGGGGATTTCCAGCCTTGCCCAGGTCTGCAGGACCCGCTGCCACTGTCACTTCACTTGCAACCCTCACCTCGGAAAGAGCCAGCAGGGAATGCAGGGCCAAGAACAGAAATCTTGGTATTGAACCACTCACATTCCCCAGAGCTAACAGTCAGGATATTCCTTTACTCTCCAATCTGAGTTTTATGTGATAAAACTTAATAAATAAATTATTTATATTTATCTATTTATATATTTATATATATATATAATATATATTTTATATATAAAATACATATTTATATTTATATTCATGTTTATATTTATATTTATATTTATATTTATATTTATATTCATATTTTAAATTTTTTATATTTTTATATTTTTTATATTTTTACTTTTTAATATTTATATATTTATATTTCTCTTTATGTTTTTCTTTTTTTCTATTTATATTTCTCTTTATATTTATATATTTATATATTAGTATATTTATATATATAAAATATACATATACATATACATATATTTATATTTATATTTATATATTTATATATTTATATTTATATTTATATTTATTTATATTTATTTATATTTATATTTATATTTATATTTATATTTATATTTATATTTATATTTATATTTATATTTATATAGGAAACTTAACAAATAAAATAATAAAATTTTATGTAATGAAACTTAAAAATAATTACGAGTTTTATGTAATAATAAAAAATAGCTATTGCATATTAAGGATATCGAGGTGAATTAGGAAACTTGAGGGCTTGGAGGGTTTGGCTGAAAGTATTTTATATTTATTTTTGGGTTTCAGAAGATGAGCTAAATACAGAGGGAATATTTTACACATTCCCAGTGTTCTCAGCAATTTTTAGCAGGGTGCATCAGGACTCTCCTTCCCTCGGTTTCTGCCCCCGCGCTTGGCTCCCGGGAGGTTTCCTGGAGGAATCCTGGGAGCAGCGGGGATCCCTGAGTGCCTCACTGCTGTAAAACACGAGCGCTGTCACCGGCCTCAGCCTCTGCACCAAAACCTCTGAGAGCCCAACACATCCACCATTCCAACTGGGATATTTCCAAAGTGATCACTGGAGATACCTCCAGGCATTCCAATGGCAAGGACACAACAAAGCAATAGAGCAAACAGGAGCATTTTAAGGGGAAAACGGTGATTCTGCTGCTGGCCCAGTGCAGAAGTGGATTTTAAAACGCATCTTTCACATTTTCTCTCAGAATTTGCTTTTTTCCTGCCCACAGCTGCCTCTGGCCTTGGCACCCAGCGAGGTGCAGCACCTGCCTCCCCGTGCAGCTCATCTCGATACTTTTGGCTTTTGACTCATCCCAATCTCTTTTTTTGCATCATTTTGTCTGGTGAGCAGCCTGGTGAAGCTCTGGGTTTCACCTGATGGCTGTGAGGCTCCCGGTGCTCACCAGGCACTCATTTCTGAACCTGCTGCTGAGCTCGGCTCCGTCTGCTCGGGCAGGAGGAGCATCACGGGGACAAGGGATGGAGGGACAGGACACAGGGAATGGCTTCCATTAGAGAATGGATTAGATGGGATATTGGGAAGGAATTGTTCCCTGTGAGAGTGGGAAGGCCCTGGAATGGCTTTCCCAGAGAAGCTGTGGCTGCCCTTGGATCCTTGGAAATGTCCCAGGCCAGGCTGGATGGGTTTGGAGCAGCCTGGGACAGTGGGAGTTCCACCCTGCCCGTGGGTGGAACTGGATGGGCTTTAAGGTCCCTTCCAACCCAAACCATTCCCTGGTATCCATGAATATTAAATATGAAGAAAGCCAGAAAATATTTGTTATTTTAAGATCATTCCCACACCTCGGCTCCCTCTGCTCGGGCTCCACATTCCCGCTCATTTCACGGAATGGCACAGAACAGTCCCTGTCCTTGCCCACAGCAGGAAGAGACCAGCTCAACCCTTCTTAGAAACCCAGAGCTGTCCCTAAAGCCACCAAGTGACGCAGTTTGAAGCCATCACCCCGGAAACCCCAACTCTTATCAAAGCAGCCCTCCCTGGCTGTGTGCAACTGCACCAACTCTCTGTGATCAACTTGGGGCTATTTACAAATAAATTGTGAAAGCAGAGGCTACAGTCCCACTCCTAAAGCTAAATTTGCTTTTAAAACCAGCATGTGAAATTAAAATACACTCTCCAAGTCCCCCGTGAAATATTTTAAGATCCACAGCT